TTAAGGACAGAGAACCTGTATTTTGTACTCCATTTATCATGGTGTTTCATGCTATAGTTGATATTTTGAATAAGCGTGTACCTGTCTTAAAGTGAGTGCAAGATGTGGTAAGGGTAATAAGGGCGTGTGCAAACAAGGCTTGAAATGCAAATGTTGTATATTTGTGAAAAAGGGTAATGTTTTTACTTCTAAAGTCACCCGTAAAATGTATTCAGTGCAGTATTACATTTGCTGTAGAACAAGGGACGTGATATATCGAATTTGTTTCTCTATATGTGGAGACCAATATGTGAGCCAAACTACATGGGAATTGAGAGAATGAATTAGGGAGCATCTACTGGATGTACATAAGAATAATTTGGATCCCCAGTAAACAGACACTTTCAAGGATGTAATGAATGTAATTAGACATACTTCATATTTTCACATTTAAGGTAATGAAAGATGTGTTTCAAAGGTGAGGAAAATATTTGATTGTAAGGTTGAAAAAAGGGAAGCATATTGGAATTAACCATGAAAGGGATCTTTAAAAGATAATTCAACATTAAAAGAACACCATAGTGTCAGGGACACAAACATGTATTTCTGACAGTATGGTAGTACAATGGCAGTGTTCTGAAAAGCTACATTCATTAACTCTTGTTTGGTAGACTCATGACCTCTTAGTCCTCCAGTCCCTTCTTGGAAGAGCTGATCATGGCACAACAGCATTAAACATAAAGCTGTTTGTTAAATATTTCATTGAACTAAGGCATTTCACTTGATTGACAAGGCTCCCGGCTCTATTTTGATTGATTCACATTTGATTTACATTTCAAATGTATCTCCCAATGTAATTATAACATTGTGTCTTTGAACCTGAGATACAATTTGTGTGGGCACTAACCTTTTGGCTGTCTAACCATTGAACAGTCTGAAATATATATTCTGGGGGAAAGAATCCTACATTTTAAATAAAAAAGTTGGCGATTTTTTATATGCTAATACACAATTCATCTAAATGGATCTGTGCAGTGGGGCTTTTATTAAAAACACTATAACATAGCTCACACAGAGACCAGCAATAGGAAATTGTCATTATTGTTTGAAATAACTGCTATGTGAGCAAATTAAAATATTACTGATTCGACATACACTGGATTAAATATAAATTATTTTAATGATTACTTCACAATACAGAAAAAAAAGTCAAAGGCTTTAAAATGGAAGCATAAATTATTGATGTATACCTTTGATAAGACAGCTGACATTATTGAGTGAATTGTCACCTAAATATAATCAGATTACATAGGAGACATTTTTTGGGGAAAGTATTTTAAAATGTCAGCTTCCATGATTTCTATCTAGTATCAAATGAATGTGAGGGAAGAGTTGTTGAGCAAAGATTAGATATGCTAACATACTTAGCCTGAAGCTGAAGAGGTTTTGTAGAGATATAACATCAGCCTTAAATGACAAAACAGACTGAGCAGATTTATTAGCCCGTAATCTGAATCATGATCTGTGCAATGCAGCAGGAACTAGGTACATTTCTCCCATCACAGATGAATAAAGATGCGGGATGGAAGGAAAGGATGGCAAACTGACAAACTGTCTAACTGGCTGAGCTAAAGTTGAAAGTGTCAGACGTACCATAATAGGTCATTGACCTACACTGAGGGTATTGCTTGATCAACCCCTTTTTTTGCACACATGCATGGGCACACATACATATATTTTATATAATCAAACACAATTCTGAAAAGAATAATTAATAGTTATAAGAAAAAAGGCACTTTATTTGAAGTAAACATTCACATATGTTTACCTCCATTTGGATTCGTAAACTAAACCTAAGGGACACTTGTTGATTTGACATTTTACTTCTGTATTCCAATCCTTTTTACAGGATAGTGCAAACAATACACTATTAGATCCGTCTCATGCAAAGAACGGGTTTCCCAATATAATGTTCCTTAAAGGATTACTCTAACCCTTTATATCATTTTTTTTATTGTAAAACATTATACTAGTCACGGTTCACTAGGTCCCCCCCCCTTTTGAAACCTTGTAAAATAAACATTAAAGTTACCTGGAATTTACCCTAGCTGGTTTCCATACCTCCATTGACATCACTGCTGGCCACTCGTGGTCCAGTGGACCGTTCTCAATAGCTCAGAGTGCATGCTTATGCTCTAAACCAGTAAGGGAAGTAGTGTTGGTGGAGGGATTGAGAAAAATAATAGCAATTTAAGATTATAGGGAGGTGGCGATTGAAGTAATCATGACAAAAGCATTTGTTTGCAGAGAATTAACATTAAGGGACACTATACGCACCCAAACCCCTTCAGCTCATGGAAGTTGTCTGGGTGAGTTGTCAGTCCCACTTAGTCCTGCAATGTAAATAGTTGCAGTTTCTGAAAAACTGCAATAATTAAATTGCATAAATAATTAAATTGCATGACTAAGACTGCCTCTAGTGTAAGCTTTGTATTACTTACACTATAGAATCCCTTTAGTAAGTTGTGCCAGTGGTCCAACTAGACCCTGGAACAACAGTCAAAATAATTCAGTATGTGCAGAGTTTCAATCAGAAATGCTGCACATAGAGACACCTATCAGCATAATTACTTCTAAAGGCAGAAGTGGCCATGGTGTTTGGAATAACCCTTTAATATAAAGATCAAACTAACATACACTCACAAGTACAGCATTTTATATTATTTATGTGTTCATAATTACAATTTTTGACAGAAGGAATTATTATTTACAGAAGGAAGTTCTATGACATTATTTGCAAGCCCAAAATCACAGAGTGCAAGTGATGAACCAATAATTTTAGAAATTAATGCGTGCTGAAAAAGATACAAAATATACCCATAAGTTTGCACACATGCATATCAAGACTGAAAGAAATATGGGTTTGAACCTGATGATTTATATATCATTCAATATGAGCTTCCCTGCTTCATTAGATATTTAAAAAATTGGGATTGATACCATATTGCATTCAGTTTAGCTCACAATGTTTTTAGATGTAAAAAATTTAGAGGTAACATATTCTCTGAATAGTGGGATTATGACACTCTCAGTCAATGGTACAGCCTGCCCCGCAGGGCTTAGTTCCGTGGGGCTAACAGAAGCTCTGTACTGGAGTTCCCAGCTCTTCTGGTGCCCAGCAGACTCTAATTAAATTGTCAACACATTTGCAAATGGTTCGACTTCTGGGAAGGAATTAATTAAATATAACTGTAGTGGTTTTGGCACTTGTAGTGTTCCTTTGAAGTTATAGTAATTTCCTTGTCATGTGAGTTAATTAGACCATTAAAAGGGCATTCTTAGCATCATAACAGCTACAGGTCTGCAATGATTTTCATGATCTCTCAAGGCCTACAGTCCAACCACTTACCTGGGATTAGATGATACGTAAGTAAAAGTCCACATTGGTCCATCTACAGGGCAACAATGACAGGCTGACAGCACCATATTCCTTAATCCAGTATTTTCCCCCTACATTAGATAAGCTAATGTAGATGTTCACTCATGCATTAGTCAAGCTACAGAAGAGAGGTCAGGCTCTAGTAAACTGAAGAATCAGTAGAGTTTTTGCAAACCACTCCAAATTGAGTGACTATGAAGGGAGAGGGTGCACCCCTATCACCTCTCATCCAGAGTGTACCAACTCCCCCCATTTGTATACTACTACACTATATATATTTGTTATCTGTATCATATTTTATTTACTTGATAATCAATATTGCTATTTTAAAAGGCTCTGTATGTGAAAAACGTGTTAATGCCAAATTAAATTTCTAGTTGATTTTGAAAATTGCTGGAGGCATGAAATATTGACAGCAGCAGAGTTTAGCTTTCAGATATTTCATTTACTTTGTTATATCTCATTCATATGCAGCCTAGACAGTAATGATACAGTTGAGCTGGGGGCATGCTATTTAACTTTGCATGTATGGCAGATGTCTTCTAAGCTGGACTGATAAAGGCCTTTTGGTTTGTGTGCTGTAAAAATGCATTCCAGTTGTTTATTTTGTCGATTTTAGAAAATGTGATCTCATCTGATGTTTTATATTCAGAATATTGACAATAATATTTATCTAAAAATTATGTGATAAAATATTTAACTTAAATTCTAAGACAAAGTAATTTATTACATGCTAATATTTAATTTAAAATTTGTAAATGTTGGTGTCTCACAGTAACTTTTTAAGCACCATGTCCATTTCATTTACAAAACTTAAGCATGACATTTATTTGAAAAATGGCAAATATGTAAATTATTCAAAATTACTTTTCAGTGTTGCCTAATGGTATAAATGCCCTGCTCTTTGGTCAGGGCAGGTGGGGTTCTGGCCCCAGATCTTGTGCTTAGAGGGTTCTGTCATTAGACTGACATACAGGTATCCTGGGTGCGAAGCAGCATACTTAGAATGTCTGTGTGAGATCACCTCAATTGATCTCTAATCTCTCTAACACTCCATTTCTTCTCTCAGATATTTTGTTATTGAGAACCCACTCACCCAACATTTTCAGCCTAACACTACTAAACTCTGGAGAAAATAGAATTTACTTTGACCTCCAGCAGTTGTCAACTGATGTCCATTCATATGTTTCATCCATCCCTACCTCCACATGTCCCTCTCTGGCTATCTCCTCATATAATGCTACCTTCAACTCTGCCCTGGATGCTGCAGTCCTGTTCTAAAAAGCCACTACTTCATTCTACGTCTTATAGACCTCTCTGCTGCCTTGACACTGTTGGTCATGTCCTTCTTCAAACTCTTCAATCCATCACTCTATATGACAGTGTCCTCTCTTGGTTCTTATTCCATGTCTCTCAAGGTTCACTTTTCTAATAACACCTCCACCCCTTGTCCTGTCTCGGTTGAGGTCCCCCAAGGCTCTGCTCTTAGTTCATTTTTGTTTTCTCTTTATACTGCCTCTGGTTACATAATTATACAAATTGATATACATAAATATATGCCATTCATATATGTATAATTGAAATGCACACAAATGCAATACAACTAGGTGCAATTACTCTAATTGCACCTAGTTGTATTGCATTTGTGTGCATTTCAATTATACATATATGAATGGCATATATTTATATATATCAATTTGTATAATTATGTTGTATTGATATACTACTTTTCCTGATTTGTAACTTTTTTGTTTCCTTTTGTATATGCTTTATAAATGAGCCATATTAATCCCAATAACTTGCCGGGAAGATGGACAACAATATATTTCTATTTCTTACACCGGCGTGTAAGGGAATTTACCACAAGAAATATGGCTGAGCAACATAGAAATTACATTATCTTCAGGATTTCTATGAAATACACACGGACCATGTATAAACACGCCCTATTCATGACGCCGCATGTGACGTATAGCGCCACATGGGTATCATAAGACCAGGCTATAACACTCCATCGGACACAGCTGATTCAAGTGCACGGCCATGAAATAAAAGTATCCAATTGGAGGACTCTGCGAGCGAATCACCAATCAGCAGGAATGAGGAGACATTTAAACCGCCGATATGCAGCATGATGGATACCGATTGAGAAAGCTGTTACTATACAGCAAAACGTGTTTCGGGAAGGACGATTTGAAAGGACTTTTAATTATTTTTATCATTTGATTTGTTAGCTTTGATATATTTGTTTAATAAATATTATTTTATACATATATAAGAACACAAGTCGACCTCCTTCCATCTGCTGCACAAAAAAGGGTTGTTGCCCCCTTAAAGGGACATTTACTTACCGCATATACCGAATATAAGTTGAGACCCCTAATTTTACCCCCCAAAAATGGGAAAACTTATTGACTCGAGTATAAGACTAGGGTGGGAAATGCAGCAGCTACTGGTAAATGTCTAAATAAAATTATATCCCCCCAAAATTATATTAATTGAATATTTATTTACAGTGTGTGTATATAATGAATGCAGTGTGTGTATATATAATGCAGTGTGTTTGTATGAATGCGGTGTGTGTGTATGAATGTAGTGTGTGTGTATGAATGCAGGGTGTGTGTATGTGTGTGTATGAATTCAGTGTGTGTATATAATGAATGCAGTGTGTGTTTGTGTGTGTGTGTGTGTGTGTGTGTGTGTGTGAATGCAGTGTGTTTGTATGAATGTGGTGTGTGTGTATGAATGCAGTGTGTGTGTATGAATGCAGGGTGTGTGTATGTGTGTGTATGAATGCAGTGTGTGTATATAATGAATGCATTGTGTGTTTGTGTGTGTGTGTGCGTGTGTATGAATGCAGTGTGTGTGTGTGTGTGTATGAGTGCAGTGTGTGTATGAGTGCAGTGTGTGTGTATGAGTGCAGTGTGTGTATGAATGCAGTGTGTGTGTGTGATGCAGAGTGTGTTTGTGTATGTGATGCAGAGCTTTGGTGGGGGGTGGGCATTTTTATTTTTTATTATTATTATTTTAATATTAATTTCTTTTGGTATATTATTAATATTTTATTATTTTTTTTTAATATTATTATTTTTATTTTATTATTATTTAAATTTGTATTTATTTTTTTTCGTCCCCCCTCCCTGCTTGTTAGCTGGCCAGGGAGGGGGGCTCTCATTCCCTGGTGGTCCAGTGGCATGGGCTGTGTAGGAGGGGGGCTGGCAGAGAGCTGTAACTTACCTTTCCTGCAGCTCCTATCAGCTCCCTTCTCTCTCCTCCAGTCCGGTCAGCTCCCCTGTCAGCTCCCACTGTAAGTCTCGTGGTGTGACTGCCGCGCGGAGCATTGGCATGGTAACCCGTGGCAACGCTGTGACACCGTGGCTCTCGCAAGACTTACACTGGAGCTGACAGGGGAGCTGACCGGACCGGAGGAGAAAGAAAGGAGCTGACAGGAGCTGCAGGAAAGGTAAGTTACAGCTCTCTGCCAGCCTCCAACAGGTCCGCCGGGCTTGTAATGAGCCCGGCGGTCCTGGTCTGTATTATGGCAATGTAAGTTGCCATAATACAGACAGTGACTCGAGTATAAGACGAGTGTGGGTTTTCAGCACAAAAAATGTGCCGAAAAACTCGACTTATACTCGAGTATATACGGTATATAACAGCAGCCAGGCCTGGGCTCCTGATAAGGTGAGAAGCCACTTATTCACAACCTTTTTTCTCTATCTTGTGGAACTTATTGCACTAGAAGCCACCTTGCTTCCTTTGTCTCCCTACCCTCTTCTTTTTTTATATGGGGACCATCTGAACAAGAAGAAATACAGAGGTACAGTGTCACCATAGTACACACATACTCAAGCGATCTGAGCCTAGCCTAAGTGGCTCTTTCCCATGTGAGTGAGACTGTTACCATTTATTTCACATTGGTCCACTATGATATTGCACTATATTTGGTTTTATACTTTCAGAAGTTTATACTATACCACATTTCTTGTATGCTGAATATTCTGTTAACCCTTAGGAGTAAGTTACTGAATCTTTAAGCTCTCCACAATCACACTAGTGGTGGATTATATATATCTTCCTTCACACTTAGTGCATAGATCCATTTATACATATAGTCAGGTGATGATTAAACAATTTTACCAAACAGGTCTAATGATCATCAATTTAAAATGTAGGTTGAAGCATAATCCCTAACGCCTTCACTGTTGTATTTACATATAATGGATTCCTAGGGTATAATCCCATATATGCATATAAATAGAATTGTATATACACAGTTTTAACAATTGCCAGCAAAATTAATTTATTGCAAATTAATTTCATTTACAATTGGTGCTCATAGTGTGTTGGGCAGTCTGTCACTGTGGCAAAAGGCAGAAAGGACCATTGCTCTGGCTGGTGAGCGGATCTAAAGATCTCCTCACCAACTCTTTCTTGCACCTGCAAGGGAGCAGGAGGTCTGCACCTCTACTGAGAAGAGAGAATTCATAGATGTGTACCTCCAAATGGAAATGCAGACTTGCAGCACAGGAACTCCAGACCACCAAGAAGAAATGTTGTAGGCCCATCGGACACCAGGGAAACCATCTGAGCATTGGGTGTTCCCTATGTGTTCACAATCATAACATTCAGTGCTGTGTTAATGCCTTGAGTCACTAACTGTCCCCAAATATCAATGAGACTCTGGAACACTGTTCAGTCAACCTTAGTTTTTTAGTTACTCCTTAGTAACAACTCAAAATGGTTTACAACTGTAACATGGTTACTTAGACACTCAAAATGGTGTGTCCTGCTGTTCTTAAAGCTGCAGTTAGCTCAACACATTCCCCCCATCACCAACAATGCAAACTATATATTTTATACTGTGTTGGGTGGCTGGACAGTTCTCACAATTAACCCCATATAGACAGTCATCCACATACAAACGCAGTCACCCTCATGCATACGCAACTCGCAACCTTGCCATAAACAATAAGCACACTTCAACAGCCCTCTTATATACAATATACTGCAATCACACACACATAGAGATACACATTCATGGACACACACCTAGGCACACATTTTAAACACAATTATACAAATACAGGCAGATATACACAAAAAGACACATGCAGGAATATTCCCTGCCAGACACAGTCTCAGGCACATGCACAGATACACAATGCCTGACACACACACATAGATACTGAAATACACTACCAGACACACTCTGCCAGTATGTGTGTGACTGTATGTCTCTGTGCATCAGTGTGTTTGTGTGTGTGCCTGTATAGGTCTGTGTATGTATATGTGTGTTTTAGAGAGTATATATTTGTACATGCATCAGTGTGTGTGTATTAGTGCAAATGTGCTTGTGTGCATCCGTGTATCCAAAGACCCTATATATATAACATACATGATAGATAGATAGCTAAATGTTTTGTGCTGATTGCTCATTGTTGGTCAGCAAAAATACAAAGAACAAATCGATAGCACTGTGAGGACTCTTCAAAACAATAAAAGTAACTTATTTCGAATTGTCAGTAAAAGTTGTCAAGCTTCAGTTTCTCACACAAAACTTTCATCAGAACTGAACATAAAATCAAAAATATCAAATGATGAAAGTTAAGCTTTATTTTTTGAAAAGTCCTCAGAGTGCTATCCAATTGTTCTCTGTACTTTTACTGACCAGCAAAACACCAAACATTTTTGGATTCTGTACAGGTTCTTGACATTTTTTGCTCTATATAGACACTTTTTCAGGAGTCTTTCCTTGCACCTTACCTTTTTCAGCATTAATACTTTTACTTTTGCTACTCATAATCTACAATATAAGAAATTTGGAATGCAAATTTTGTATTAGGTGGACTACTATCACTATAGATCTTCCCAACACTACATCTCTAAGGGATATGAATCTGAAATTATTACACTTGAAGATCTAATAGATGGATCTGGACCTCCAAGGACTCTTCCTATCAGAATATCACACAAAATCTACAAATTCCAAGGGACTTCTGAATCAAAAACATCCCCACTATTAGCTGATTAAAAAGCAAGGTGTGTAAAAGATCAGTTACAGTTCTAAATAAATGCTCATTAGACCTGATATTGGTAATAATAGAAGATGTCAAAGAGGACATTTAGATGGAGAATTACTGAATTAGAGAACCAGCATGCACTACTCCTCTCCTCGACTGAAGGAAGCTGATGTGAGGAGTCCAAAACAGTTTTTCTGATCTGTAACTTCATTAATTGGCAAATTATTTTTTAAAAGATTCAAGTCCAAGTAGGCAAATAACATGACATTTATACAAACTGAAACAAAAAAAAAATTGTGTTGTTGCCAGGACACCCAAAATACTTGGATTCTGGAGTTTTGGTTTTTTTTTCTTGCAAACTGTTCGTGGTGAAGAGATTAAGTGAAACCCCAAGCTTAGAACTGCAGCAAGACAAAAGGTAGTTATACGGCATCGTCGAGGTCTCACACAGGCAAAAAATTCTAGTCAGACATAGGTTTCCAGATGGGCTGTCCAACAATAAGAAGCAGGCAATGCTAAGAACCATTAATGCAGGGAAATTTAGTGCAGAAGATTAAGACACATGATGCTTACTCTACATAATCAGAAGATGTCCCAATGTGCAATTAACTCAAAGTTGGCAGAAACCAGT